TCAGCAGGAGCGAGTTGTTTTCCTGACGGTCCCTGTGCAACTGCAGTCTGTGCGTTACAGCTGACATCATCCTTTGCCTAATCATTAACTCGATACTGTTCACCAAAGACAGATGCAGCGCTGCAGAGATACACGCCTGTTCATACAGACACAAACATCATAAACTAGAGCCCTGTGATTGCTGCAACCTCAACTCAGTCACATTACTCAGTCATAAAACTGAAATTTTCTGTATAGTATGGACTGTCATAGAATTGTACACTTCATCAAATGGTGACGTAAACTACTGTTAAAGCACTGCAGTGAAGTCTGCATGTTGTGTGTCTCAGTTTGCTCCACTGAACATAATGAAACACTTGACGCTCGTCTGCTTCTCACTATATGAACGCATGAACTTCAGCATTTCACCATTTCATTTGATAAAAGTTTCATCAGAAACTCAAGGCTCTTCACTACAACCCACCAAAATAAGTTATCACACATTTTTTATATCAATGTTTTAATTGAAACTACTGTATAAACCTCTGTTTTGCAGCATTTTGTTTGCCAAAAAATGAAAGTAATTTCATTTGATTTCGATTTTAAATGATTAATTCTTTTAGTTAGTTATATGCATTCAATTGATTTTCTCTGTTTTTGATAATAAATTTGTGTAATCATATAACACAGTCCAGAGAGATTAAAACAGACAGCAGACAATTCAACTGATTAGACATTAGGGATGTGCGCGATGACTAATTTGGCCATTGTTTAAACGAAAGTTTTGTATTCGACTAGTCGACTAGTCTAAAAGCAAGAAACCCCCAAAAGATGGTAAGAAAAAAAAACCTCTGTGCGTGCGTGTAGCATAGCCTATATAATAGCCTATATTTGAAATTAGAGGTCGACCGATGTATCGGTTTTGCCGATTAATCGGCACTGATAGTTGATTGCTGGAACTATCGGTTATCGACAAATATCCATGCCGATAGTTTTCCGGGTTGCGTCCATTGCTGGAGCGGCTGAGAAGGGTCTGCTGTCATTATACAGTGCTCTATTTGAAATACTTAATCTATGAATCACACTGTCAAATCCCTCAATGAATTCCGCTTGCCACACACTTGCCTCACGTTATCATCATTTCATTTTAGGCGGT